TATAATGCTGATTCAGTGTCCAATGAGAAGGATCGAAATTAATAGTTGATACAGTTAGCTGCACCAGGATGTAAGTGTCACCTGCCTGCCTTTGCAGTACTGCAGATCATTGTACATCACTATACAGTTAGGAACCTGTTTATTAATGTAAATGTCTTCGTACTTTTTTATGAGCTGCTTGCCTGGAGTTCCTCTTTAAGCCTTGGTACTATAGATTTCCATGGGGACAAACACTTTCAGGGGTGGATTATAGAATGGTCAGAATCCAGCCAGCTTACTGAAGACTAAACTGCACATCATCGGGGTCAAAACCAAATCCCAAGTGCAGTTCTGCAGGAAGATGCAGGCAGATGGGTAAAGATGGGCCTCCTTATTACACTGACATAATTTTTTCCAGGGATGGACAATCGGGAAAGGTGACAGTGGATGACTATGGTGCCAGAACAGGAAAAACTCCAGGATTGATGCGACAGCTAAACATTAATGGGGACCTCTATGTTGGTGAGTGCTCAAGAATTATCATTGGGTTGAATATGATGTCTATATGGAATAATTTACCACCTGTGGTGAATTATAAAGATATTAGGATTCAGCAATGATTTGGTGACCATATAAACTACTATCTAGCTGCTGCTGCAAGCTCGCTCCTGTGATGGACTACCAATGTCACGTTTAGTTTAAACATTTGTACTGAAATTATAGTCTGTCATGGGAGTGAGCTTGGAGCGGTGGCTACTTTACAACACACAAAGGGACCATGGGGAACAAAATTAGCCACCCACCCAAAGGAAGGACAGTGTCAGCACCAATTCAGAGATGATTTGAGGATCTACAGCTGAGTGATACACAAATAAGGTACATTTTTGTCAATATTTTAAATGCATTTTTAACATTTACCTCTTGAGTTTAGTGTCACTTTAATCCTTCAGGTTAAGGGTTCATCTTAGGGTTAGCTTAAGGTCAGGAAAGGGGAGGGTTAAATGTCAGAGTCAGTGATTCCTAGGGCACAGTTTTCTTCTTTTTTTTATTTGTTTATGGAAGAGAAAGTCTTGCAATAAGAACTGAAATCCAGTGCCAGAAAATACATACAGCTGTCCTATGACTGACTTGTCATTAAAGAAAATCTGCCTACCTGTGCCTTCCGTTACCTGTAAGTCCCAATGGTGAACTTTGTATCTGATTGTTTCAAAACAAAAATGGCAAAATATCACATAATACCCTCTGCTATGAATGGGTTAGTAGTGGTATGTAGAGCATTGGTGACTACATATAATTGAAACATGAACATGAAAAACACTCTGAGTGAAAATCAAGCCATGAGAGCAGCTAGCTACCCTGGCCTTTAGGTTTTCATTCAGGAATAGCTTTTTAACCCTTGACCATCCCACTGCTGGACACCGAATTGGTAATTTGATATATTGGGAGCACCAACTCTCCTAAAGTTATGGTAGTATATGCATGAGCCTACTCCCATGATGTTCTGGGTTCCTAAGGGTCCATGGGCTGCATCATCACATGACAAACCACATCACCTCCATCTGCTCACGTATTGGTCCTGTTTCTTCTTCCTGCTGTCCTCAGCACCTTTGTACCCTGCACTTGTCTATTTCCCCAGCCTATCCTGTTGCTTTTCTGTTAGCTATACTCTTGGTCAGGAGGCAATGGTATGTCTTATGATCCTGGCAGCCAGCCCAGAATGTATAGTAGAAACCTGCAACAGTAAAGATGCGTTCTGTCCATACAACACGATGTGAAAGAGCTTCTGACTAGCACGTTGGTAATATTTCCTTGTTAACAACAGTAGAATGATTTTGCTTGTTACCCAAAGCTGTTTTTTTTAAATATTCTGGTTCATTCTTTACTAGGTGGAATGAAGGAGATTGCCCTACACACAAACAGACAGTACGTTGGAGGCCTCATAGGTTGCATCTCTCACTTCACCCTCTCCACTGACTACCATGTGTCACTGGTGGAAGATGCATCGGATGGGAAAAACATCAACACTTGCGGAGCAAAATAGGAATGAACACTAACGTGCTTGAAGCCACTCGAGGAACAAAGAAGACTTTGCACTGTAAGGACAATCTGCAATCCGTGTCATTCCAAATATGTTTCAAGAACAACCACAACCAAAAAAGAATCTACCAGATGTTTCTGTTTGTAGGAAAAGAAAACTTGAACTAATTTCTAAAGTCTCCAGTAGTGTGGGATTCAGAATGTGACTAACGAGAGATATGTGTGCCTTTCTCTCACTTCCAGCCCTGAAAGTCTAAAATAGTTTTGAGAATATGGATGAGTCAGTCAGAGATTTCAGTCACCTCTTTGTCAGCTGTAAGTTATATGAGGAAATGGGTGAAATGGTGGGTCTCATCCTGTGGGATCAGAGCAGCTCCCTGTAACTACTTGAGAGCAGCCTGTGCAATATTCAGTAATAGACCATCATGGCCATTTCCTCTGGCCAAGGACCTTCTGCCCAGCACTGGCTGGCAAAACCTAGTAACTTATTTGATGCGCTTTTCATATGAAACGCTGTCCGGTGTAAGATTTCTTTTTTTCTGGTGGAAATCCATGACTATCTTAAGGAATGAATCTTAAATCGACACTAGTAATGTGATGGTGTAGAGCAGGGGTAGCCAAACTCTGGCCCTCCAGCTCTGGTGAAACTACAAAGCCCATGATGCATCTCTCTCTGGGAGTCATGTCTGTGGCTGTGAGAATCTTGCAATGCCTCATGGGATTTGTAGTTCCACCACATCTGGAGGGCCAGAGTTTGGCTACCCCTGGTGTAGAGAATACATGATGCTCCTGTGATGATAACACCCTTTACCTTGTCAGGATTCTTCACATCATCTTCCATTACACTGGGAAGCTTTTAATGACTGCAGTTCACAGAAACATGCAATGCGCACAAGAGCAATGCTCGGAGTCTTCAAATCCTTCTTGGCGACACCACTGGGGTGCAAGCTTCTGCCTCATTTATTCAAAAACTGACAATACACATTACAATCTGACTACAATCACTAGTCTTCTTTAGATCTTCCAATAGCTGTGTAGCACTAGGGCCTCCCTTAATAGATACAAAAATTAAATACTTTAAGTAGGCCCTTGTTCTACATAGTCTTGGTAAATCTAATTGAGGTTGTGCAGAAACTATAATGTGTATAGCCAGTTTAAGGGCCATGTGATGTACAACCATGCACCTATTTAAGCACACATATTATTTTAACATTTTTGACCTTGTTTTATAGAATATAACACCATATTGAGTATAATTGGATGCAAGAGATGACCTCAATACGGCAAAAAGAGATGAAAAGTTAATCTGGCTGGGTAGGAATTCTTGCACTTTACCCGCATACCATAAGGCACAGGCAATGTATACAGAAGAACTAGGAGATTTTTAGAAAGGTTTTTTTTTTTAAAAAACCTTAAAAATATGAATGATAGCTAGGACTCCAGGAAGTGCTCGTATCGTGCCTCTCATCAGTTCTATACAGTTCATGTGCAATGTAACATTTTATTTATATTTTTCTTAACTTGGGTGTGCATATAAATGAATTGTGACTAAGGATAGCAAGTCACATCCTAACATTTTGTCACCATCAGCCTGTTAAAGACCAGAGAGAATTAGGTTTCAAGTGGTGTCCTCTATGGGTAGCATGTGATATGTTTCTTAGCTAGTTTCCTGGTGCTTCCCCTGCCACCTGCATAGAAAAAAAAACCAGGGAATTGCCGCAGGATGTTTTTCTCCACTGTGTCCCCAACAGTGACAACAGAAATAAAAAATACCAATAGAAATAAATATGCTTTTTAGGGATGCACCCATATCATTTTGTCAAGGCCAAGTAACAATACCTTTCCTCAATTACTGACCAATACCTTTCATTTTGTTGTCATGTGACATTTTTTCTAAAACAATGCAGACAAATGATATTAGGAAAGTGGTGAAGTGTCAGGGCTTGGTCCCAGCTGCAAATGCTGCGTCCCTGGTAGTTCTGCCACTGACTCCAAGCTGTAGAGGGACTACAAATTCCAGCAATACATTATACAGCAATGCAGAATACCACCAGCGATAGAGGACTACAAATCCGTGTAATACATTATACAGCAATGCAGAATACCACCAGCTATAGAGGACTACAAATCCCAGCAATACATTATACAGCAATGCAGAAAAATACCTAGAGAGATAATATGAAGCTACATTCTCCGTTCTGCTTCTGGAGTACTGGCCTGAGGTCTCCAGTGGAGAATCTGAGGTGGCTTTGCGGGGACTTAGGAGGGCTGTGCGGGGTGTCAGGATGTTGCACAGGGTCTATGGTGGGCTGTGCGGGGTTTCACAAGGGGTCTCGGTAGGTGGCAGAGTTGCAGGAAAGAGGAGGAAATTTTTGGCGTGTGCTGTAATCAGGCACCGCGATTCACAGGAAGGCTGCCGGTCCTTGCTGGGGACCTCCGCAGCCTTCCTGTGAACAGCGGCATCAGCTTTCTTTTAAAAATGTAAAGCGTTGTTATCTGCACCTAGTATTGGGGCAGCTTCACGAGTACTAGCACCGATACCGGTATTGGTGCAACCCTAGTGCTTTTATTGCTGTGTGCACATTGGAGAGGCTCTTCCTTTATTCTTTTCTCAGTGACCAGACAGGAAAAGAGGGAAAATCTACTTAAGGGGTCATGGAAGACTCAGCAGTGATGCACCGGCCGGCGGGAGGAATCCCAACTCATGGCAGGGGACACCATCATTCAACACTCCCGGAAGTTTTGAGTGCTGAAAACATTTTCCTTGGCTGTAATACTTGAAGACAGCGAAGTTCAGACTCAGAATCTTAAAAATGCATTCAAGTACCTGAACTATTAACCAAAATGTATCTTATTTGTGTATCACTCGGCTGTAGATCCTCAAATCATCTCTGAATTGGTGCTGACACTGTCCTTCCTTCTGAAGGTTGGCTTCTTTTGTTCACCATGGTCCATGTGTGTTGTAAAGTAGCCACCACTCCGAGCTCACTCCCATGATGGACTACAATCTCAGGTTTATCGTTTACTAATTTGAATTGAGATTGTAGTCCATCACGGGAGTGAGCTTGGAGCGGTGACTACTTTACAACACACACAGGGACCATGGGAACAAAAGTAGCCACCCTCCAGAAGGAAGGACAGTGTCAGCACCAATTCAGAGATGATTTGAGGATCTACAGCTGAGTGATACACAAATAAGATACGTTTTTGAGGATAGTGAGTGTACTTGAATGCATTTTTAAGATTTAACTCCTAAGTTTAGTGTCACTGTAAGAAATATGTACGAAAATACTGGGCTGCTTTTGTTCAGTTAGTTATTGGTGAGCAGCAGAGGAAAATCATATATTTTTTAGAACATTATATTTAAATCTGTACCCTCTTGCAGAATGAGTCTGGAGATGAATTACTGAAAATGAGCACAGAGTGAGTCTTGTATTACCCTAAAAAATGTAAATGCAATATTTTATCTGATTAGTCATCTGCTGCATGTCAAAATATTTGCTTCTTGGTGATAGATTCCCATCAGCCCTGAGCTGACACCGTGACATTTACATAATTTATCAATAGAAGGATTTATATAAAAAAAAGAATTCTACCTCGATAAAAGAGCAGTATATATGATTTTATTTCCTTTTCGTTACCAAAGGCCTATTTTCAGCGGTTTTACATTTTGCTTACATCCAGACAGGGGGATTGCTCATAACCTTCCCTGGATTTTGTATTGTGATCGGATTCCTGGACCACTTTGTAGACCTGACTTAGACATTTTGTACATGTATATACAGTATTTTTATAGAACCAAATATAGGACACTTGACCAAATGTAATGTAGAGTTTTAGATGTAACAACTTTTTGCACAATTTCCCCATGTGTTTGTTTTATGAAAATATGTTTTTTGTCCTAAGGTCCGTCTCATTTCCCTTCTTCTCCCATCTTAATACTTTTGTACATTTCTTGTCTATTCATGTTTGTTTTTCAACCAAATAAAAAATGTTAATAATTAATAATGTATACCTGCAATTTTTATTTCTCATTTTCTTTAAAAATGCATAAAGACACACATGAATGCAGCTCTGTATTCATTATTACATCATTAAATGCAAGCAGTGCATTCATTGTACCTTGTTCTGGGTCGGTAGCTCAGAAAACATTAAAACCAGAGAGAGCCAGCCATGACAACTTCTATGGTTCTCTCAGTACAGGTTTGAATTACACAGCTGAGTAGTTTGACCATTTTGATAATTGGATGTACACTTTATGGCAAAGAGTACGTGGGCACCCCTCCAAATTATGGAGTTTGTTTTTCCAGTTAGGGGCACTGTTAATGCTACAGCAAAGACAATTTTGACAAGTATGCACCATTAACCTTGTGGGAACAATTTGGAGAAGGTCCTTTTCTGTCCCAGCATGACTGTGCCGCTTTACACAAAGCGAGGGCCATAAAGACATAGTTAGGTGGCCTGCACAAAGCCAACCTCAACCCTACTGAACACCTTTGGGATGAATTGAAATGCCAACAGTGAGTCAGGTCTTCTCATCCAACATTAGTACCTGACCTCACAAAATTCTATTTTAGGTGAATGGGCAACAATTCCTACAGACATACTCCAAAATATTGTGGGACGCCTTCTCAGAGGAGTGAAAGAGTGAATGTAGTTCTAGCAGCAAAGGGGGGAGGGGTGTACTCCATATTAATGCCTATGATTTAGAATGGGATTCCAAAAAGCTCATATAGGAGGTGTGATGGTTACAAAACTTTGGCCACATTGTGAAGTTCATGCGGGCTCTCCTAGTTTCTATTTTTTTTTATAGGACCAACCCAGGTGGATTCTCTGACTTCAGCAACAATATAAGGGAAAGGGAAGACAAATAAACAGATGCAGGCAATCCATATTTCAGTGAAGTATATACACTATATTTCCTTTACTTTATTTTAGTTATTTTGGAGAATATTTCAACAAATATTTACAGTGCATTTCAGAGATCACAGCAGACGAGCAGTAAATAAATCAGTAGAAAAACATAACACTATCATAACATAACACTAATTATGAACAGACTGATTCTTTTTAATACATTGCAAAAAATAATTTTCATATATCTAATATAAAAAAATAAAAATTTTAATACCTGAATGATTTTAACAAAATGAAATAGTGAGAACTAATGAAATCTGCATATATTAACCTCATTTACAGCAACATTTCCTCCAAAGATGGCAGGCACATTTTGAT